TCAGTCCTTTTGTCTTTTCATGTCCTTGCCATCTTTGTTACACAGGTCCCACCGGGCGTGCCACAAATTATTTGTGGTTGAACAATAAATATTAAGCATGTCAGAGACACTGAGTCTTAATAGATAATGAAAAGGGTCATGAGTTCTCTTAACACAGTTCGCTCGGATGTAAAAAGATAGAAGGCTTTGGTAGAACAAGTGTGTAATTTGATTAAAGTGTAAAAATTACAGACTAAAACTAAGAACTGAAAAGGGGCTAATGAATGTAAAATATAGAGTCTTGATAGAGTGTTGACTAGATTTTTCTGTTTTTCTTCTTTTTATTTACAGTGTCTGATAGTAAAAGCCTTTTCTTTTTGAGACTTAGCATGTTCTACCGAAGAATCAGGAATCCTGCAAAACTTATGGCACGGTCTCTCTATTTTGTTAAACAGTCCATTTCACCGAACTACTTGGGCGTATATTTCAACATTATTTAGGGTCGTGTCTTCGTGCCAACGATCTGATATTTGAAGCTGACGGAATTTCGGCATGTTTATTTGTTGTGGACTTTATTGACCTTTAGGGCCAGCCTCTTTTGTTTATATTGGGCCTAACGTTTCGATTGCTCAGTTCAACTAGCCTCATGATCTATTTGAGCAACGTTTCATATTTATCCTAAACACCTACTTTCAAACTAACCATATATTTTTATATTTACTCTCATTAAATACCCTATAATAAATATAAAGTTAACATTAATAGGGACACTTTTAAAAAAATAAATAATGATTATGCCTCAAAAAATTAAAAATATTTTATATTTTTAAACATTTAACTTTTTAAAAAATATTTTATATTTTTAAATGAAAGGGGTGTATTGATATTTATCACTCACGCGCGGAAACTGAGAAGCATGGAGGGATAGAGGATGTTGGGGGGCAAAGCGCAAAGGAAGTCTGTCAGGCTACACTTGGACTTTATTTTATATATATATATATAAACAGAATCTATACTCCAACATAAAAGAAAAAAAAATTGAAACTCAATTTGACATGAACCAAGTTCTAAATTTATAATAAAAAAATATTTTTAAAAATATAATATTTAGGTAAATATCTTTTTACAGGAATCAATTTGGCCCTTTTTTACTGAAACATCAATTGCGTTGATCCAACGTGTTAAATGATACAAATTTTAAATAAAAATATTGATATTAATCAATGGAAACACCTTTTCCCCATGAAAACTACGCTTCAGGGTGGGGCGGGTTAACCTTCCTGTAAGGCAACAATGATATCCGTACACACGGTTCATCTGTTCTTCTCGACGTATGGTCTATGGAAATAAAGTCTCGGCATCCTCTTGAATGCATGAAACATGAATCCCGATGCCCTAACGAAGATCACCGTTTTGCATTTCAGATATATGTCATCCAATCATTTTTTATTCTCATTCCCTTTTATTTTTATTCTTACCCAACGGATCATACTGAAATCGGTCTCTACCAAGCGGAGTTCTATAGCTATATATTAAAAGAAATTAAAACTCTAAATGTAGCCCGTCAAGCTATACTGCTATGTTTCTCAACCCCACCAGTTTTCTTACCCACTTGTCTTCTCTACTGTACCCTTCCCCGGCTAGACTTGGCTTTGCTCCTCTTACCTCCTGCTTTTCCGTTGTACTTTAGAGAAAATTTGGACTATCTAAATAAATTTAAATGGTTGAAATTTAATATTTTAATTTTAATTTTATATTTGTTAAAATAAAAAAAATTATAATTTTTTTTAATAAATCTAATCAGCAGTTCAAACAGTCCAAGTTTAATATTAATTTTAAATTTTTTTTATAATTTTTATCAATTGGCTATCCATATATATTTTTAAATAGTGTAGATTTAATATTAAATTTTTTTATAAATTTTATAAATTTTTAATGTTAAATTCAAACCATCCATGTTAAATCTAAACTGTCCCGACCGATGATCATATTTATTAATTTTCCTTTTCTAAATTTGGATAATCCATATTAAACCTTGAATAGTTCAGATTGCTAATGAGATTTATTAATTTTTTTTATAAATATGGACCATCCATATTAAACTTGAACTATTTAAATTGGTGATCAAATTTAAATATAGATCATTCATAAATTTGGATCATCCATATAATTTGTTGTCTTAATAAATATAAAAAATTAAAATTAAACTATTAAATCTAAACCATTTAAATTTTATATTTTCTCTAAAATGTAGCGGAGCTGTGAGAGATAAGAGGAGCAAAGCTAAGTCCTATCCAGTTCCCCTCTCCCATGTGACATATACATTATGGGTTTATGATTATAACATAAGCATAATAGTTTGGACAAAAAAGCAAAAATATGATATAAATTTTATAATTATAATTATTTTATATTATAAAAGAAGTAACAAAATAAAATTAAATTATTTTATATCATAATCTATAATTTTGTCAATAAAAATCAACATAAATTTAAATTATCAATATTTACATGAAAATACATGTTTAATTTTTTATGTTATTTAACCTTCACAGCTTTCTTAACAAGTGTAAATTAGATAAAAAAAATTGTAATAAGAATCCGGTGAAGTATTATTGACAGATTATGAGTCAACTTCCATCTTTCTATTTTTTATCGAGCCCATTGTTTCAGCTTTTTTCTGAAAGAATAATTTATTTTTGGGAAAAAATCTATTTTACAAATTTATTATGGTTGTTAAAAAATTTTAAATAATCAAAATACGAAAAAAAAGCATAAATCTAATTCCTTTAAGAAATTATTTTGAGCTTTTAAAAATAATCTAATATTACCATTTGTAGGCATATTTTTAGTCAAAATATTTCGTTAACAATCACAGTTAACATTTGTCAGATATCCGTTATTTTCTCTATTGTCTGCAAATAGGGAATAGTTGTAAAGTCTAAGTACGGTGAAAAGTATTTCATTTCTATATTAGTAGATAATAAAAAAATAAAATATTTTTTTTTGAAAAATAACAATTTTTCTCTTAAAAAAATTACTTAAAAATGATATTGTCCCACTTTATAAAGTACCCAAACATTGATAGAAAAATGTTAAGGGAAAAATAATCTTTAATGGTTTAACTCTAAAATTATATATTATGATTTAAATTTATACAATTTTATAGTTGTTGGTTATGTAGTTATTTTATAATTTGTATAATTTTTTGAAGTAGATAACTATTGTAATTATAATCTATATATATATATATATATATGCACATATAGTTGCTGTTCACCTACAGTGAATAAACAGTAATAAATATATTTTTTTAAAAAAATTATTGTAAACTAAAATCTAACGTGGGTTGTCCAAAAAAAAATTTCATATGGGACCCATGATAAAAAGTATTTGTGAATATAGGATTCACAATAAAAAATAATATAACGCATACTATTTTTGGCAAATGTAAGAACTCTACTTATTATTTGTTACTTTTATTTTGTGTATGTATAATATAATTAATTGTATTATAAAATATACATTTAGATAATAAATCATTGCAATGAAATTACAAACTTAATTTATATAAATTATAAAAAATATACGTATAATTTGATGGATAACTGTTATTATTTCAAATTATAACTCACATGAAATAACATATTCTAAGTAAAATACTTTTTAATTTTATTTAAAAAACATACATGATAATAAATTATAAAATAAAATAAACTTGTATGGAATAAATATTGACTTATTTTTTAAAACAAATTGCACATTGAAAGATTATGCATGGCTTATAGTAAAAATGATAGGTAAAAGACCTATCATGAGTAAATTGTATTTTTTATATTTATAAGATAATATTACAATAATTTTTTAATTTTACTTCTAATAATATTACAATTAACATGTATGATCAAAACTTTAATATGTATGGTCAAACCAATTTTTACTATAGAATAAATTATTTCTTAAATTTTAATTTATGTAAATCATCAAAATATGTTACTTTGAGTACACAAAAATAATTTTTTTTTATTTTATCTTTTAAATTATTACCGTTTATTTATAGTTGAATGAATAGTAAAATAAATTTTAAAATAGAATAAATTTTTATTTAAATTTAAATTTGTATAAAGTAACACATCACAAGTACAAAAAAATAACTTATTTTAAAATTTTCATTTTTTTATATTATGCTTACTCTTCAAATGATAAAAGATCCTTACAAATATTCAAAAAATATCTCAAATAAGTTTTTTACAATACTTACAAACAAGTAAAAAAATATTCACGTACAGGGGTCAACATCTAGTTAATAAGATAATGTATTATTTTTTGATACATAATATTAAAAAACATATATGTTGGAAGAAAAATAAGCAACTCACCACGGATAACACGTATATTGATATTTATCACTCACGCACGGAGATTGAAAGCGTGAAGGTACAGAGGAACTGGGGGGCAAAGGTAGCCTGTCAGGCTTCACTTAAACTTTATTTTATATATATATATATATATATATAAACAGAATCTATACTCCCATATTTAAAAAAAAAAAATTGAAACTCAATTAGATATGAACTAAGATATAAATTTATAATATGAAAGGAAATATTTTAAAAGTATAATATTTAGGTAAATATTTTTTTTTTGGGTAGTACGGGAGTCAATTTGTTCCTTTTTGACTGAAACATCAATTGCGTCGATCCAACGTGTTAAATCATTCAAATTTTAAATAAAAATATTCATATTAATCAATGGAAACACTTCTTTCCCCTGAAAACTACGCTTCAGGGAGGAGCGGGTTAACCTTCTTGTAAGGCAACAATGATATATACACGATTCACCTTTTCTTCTCGACGTATGGTCTACGGAAATAAAGTCTCGGTATCCATTTGAATGCATGAAACATGAATCCCGATGCCCTAATGAAGTTCACCGTTTTGCATTTCAGATTTACGTCTTCAAATCTTTTTTATCCTCATCCCCTTTTATTTTTATTCTTACCTAACGGATCACACTGAATATGTAAAAATGTAAATACTCATTCTTCCTTCTCCAACTGCAACCATATTAAATATGATCTGGACCTGTTTTACCTCACCCATCCAAAAAAAAAACCTTTTCCCTTTCCCTAAAGAAAGCCTCGCAGTCGCTGGTACCAAGCATGACCTTACGGCAAACCATATCGAGATTCATCTTTCCTCGCAACAAAAGGTAATAATAAGTTGTGTTCTAATACTAAGGAGTTTTATTGCCATAATTCCATAATCAAACGAAACAAATCTACAGTTATAAACTTCAACGTTTGTGAACACGTCCAGATATAATATTCCTCCTACAAAATGTGCAATGCTGTCTCCACATCACTTGCTCTTCTTTGGTTCTTTAGTATATTGATCTATCAATGCCTCGACGTCCTTCCAGAATAGGCCCTCTACCAAGATCCCATCCTTAGTGAACCTAATTCAGAAGAAACAAAAGGTGATGCACAACAAAAAGTAGATTCAGATTTTCCATTCTGTCATGCACACATGCTTGCATGTGTGTGAAAATTTTTATTTTCCAGACCTCTTGTACCTGCCTTAAACCTCAGTTTTTCACCATTGATGTAAACAAATTATATGTTGAATGTTGGTTATTAAAATAAAAAATAACATATTAGAGGTAAGCAGGGGTGTGAAGGAAAGAATGTGTGGAAGAAGAACAAGAATAGCATTACTCTGCATGGCCATAAGCAAAGAGGAAAAGTAGAGGGAGATACCATTGAGTAACACTTTTGGTTAAATGCACTGGGTCATTCGCAGAAATTGATTTTGGATCTGCACTTGCAATGGTTAGAGTGTACATGTCAGAGAATCGAGGCAGTTTGGAGGAGACTATCAAACCAGTACCAACGTAGGATCCCTGCCGAAATAAAATTACATGTAAGTTAGAATATCCAACAAAATTTTAGCACAAGTTGAGAGTATCAAAGGTTTCTGCTGGAAGCATGATGTCTGACTCATCACAGAGTTTGGCAACTAAATTTAAAGATAATCTTAAATTGTTCTACAAGTAACATATAACCCGCAAAACAACATTTCCCAGAACGAGACAAATATCTACATCAATTAAGTCATACAGCAGCCAAGAGCAGAATCAAATCACACTAGCAGTATACCTTTGAACATAGAAAACATACAATCTGCCGGGCAACTTTCAAGCCATTTCTCACCGAGCACATACTTCCAGTGAGAGAATTCTCTTTATTTCTATTCAGAAATCACAACTTTCTTCAAAATCAGATGTTGAAACTCAGAAACGAAATTACTTTTTTTCAATTTTTATATTCCATCTACTGTTCTAATCTGGGTGCAGAAGTTATTTACAAGAACTACTGGATCAGAACTGTTGACATTTATTCACAATTTTACTCTGATTATGGATGCAGATACCATAAACCAAATTTATTATTCCTAATTAATAGGGCATGAAAATATTAATTGCATGATTCAAAGCTAGACTATTGAATAACGGAAATTATAGGATAAAGATTAATTCTAAAGAAGATGTAGAAAGATGCCAAACTGATTTCACGCAAGAGTAAGGAACTGGAGACTTGCAAATAGAAAATTGAATTCTCATAAAACCAAAGATTTAAGCTAAAATTATTAAAACATTAGCATGACTGCAAACTAAGTGACTGTTCTGCACAACATATGATATGATACCAGACAATTGCATCCAACAGAAGCATATACAATAATCCAATTACATCAAGACACGGGTGAAAAAGAAATGAAAACCTGTTTGTTAATACACCAAACGAGCCTTTAGAAGAAATGGGTATTTATTAATGATACCATCATTATTGTGTTCTGTATTATTAATTAATTATGATTGCAACAAAATCATTTTGTTGGTCTAAAGATGAATTCTGGATCATAAGATTAACAAGTCATCTATAGCCAGTTTAACCCAAAAGGATGTTACAGAGTTATCTTTCCAAAACTTTTGTAACTTTAAAACTAGATTCCTACAGAAGAAAGATTATTTGATAGGCTATAACTAGTTCTTTACGATCACTAATTCATAGAATATATTATCAACCACACATTTCTCAGTTTGATGTAACCAGTTACTTGGCAGGAGCATGCTTTGCATCTGTTATGAATATCATGATAAAAAACATTCGTGTCCAGATGACCCAATAAATCTTAATTTTCATTCTATGGCCAATCCTAATAAAAGGAACCTTTGGAAGAATTATGACCCCTAGAGGCTCTCTCATGAAGTTAAGAGCCCAGGTGATAAAATATGAGATAATGATTAATTAGAATAATTAAGGCCTACTTAAGATATTAGAATCATTCATTAGGGATGTTCAAATAAGGATATTTATCCATTAGAATTAGGATTTATTATTTTATTTTATCGTTATCTTAGAGTTGTTTATGTTTAATAAAATAGGATATAATCATCCTATCAATAACAACAACAACAACAACAACAACAAGCCTTTATCCCACTACGTGGGGTCGGCTACATGGATTGCAAGACGCCATTATGCTCTATCATTTATCAAGCTTTTAGGAATATTATTAATTAAGAGATCGCGTTCAACAACTTCCAAGAGTGTTCTCTTAGGCCTTCCTCTACCTCTCTTAATCGGACTCAAAGTTATATGTTCCACTCTTCTCACTGGTGCCTCCCTTGGTCTTCTTTGTACATGCCCAAACCATCTCAACCGATTTTCTACCATTTTTTCCTCAATAGGTGCCACCCTCACTTTTTCGCGTACGTGCTCATTTCGAATTTTATCTTTACGTGTATGTCCGCACATCCATCATAACATTCTCATCTCTGCTACTCCAACTTTATGCTCTTACTGTCCCGTTAGAGCCCAACATTCACTACTATATAACATTGTCGGTCTAATAGCAGTGCGATAAAACTTTCCTTTAAGTTTACTAGGCACCTTACGTTCACAAATAACTCCTTTAGCTTTTCTCCAATTAAACCACCCAGCTTGAATTCTATGTGAAATATCTCCACTGATTTCGCCATCATTTTGAATAATGGCTCCCAAATATCTAAACTTTTCCACTTGAGGTATAATTTGATCTCCCAATTTCACTTCCAAATTATTGTCGAATATTCCTTTACCAAATTTACAATATAAATATTCCGTCTTACTTCTACTAAGACGAAAACCTTTCGACTCCAATGTCCTCCTCCATAACTCAAGTTTACAATTAACCTCTTCTCTTGTCTCTGCTATAAGAACTATATCATCCGCAAAGAGCATACATTTCGGGACTTCCTCTTGAATATGTTCCGTCAAAACATTTAAAATCAAGTTGAACAAATAAGGACTCAGAGATGATCCCTGATGTAGTCCAATCTTTATAGGAAAATCCTTTGTTTGACCACTAGGTGTTCTCATACTAGTTTTTACCCCCTCATACATATCTTGTATGGCTTTAATATAAGTAATCCGTACTACCTTTTTTTCCAACGCTTTCCAAAGCACTTCTCTTGGTATACGGTCATAAGCTTTTTCCAAATCAATAAAAATCATGTGTAGATCTTTATCTTTACAACGATACTTTTCCATTAATCCCCTTAGTAGATAAATCGCCTCTGTAGTTGATCTACCTGGCATAAAACCAAATTGATTCTCAGAAATACTTGTCTCCAATTTCAACCTGTGCTCAATTACTTTCTCCCACAATTTCATTGTGTGGCCCATGAGTTTAATCCCTCTATAGTTAGTACAATTCTGAATATCTCCTTTATTTTTATAAATAGGAATTAATGTACTTCTCCTCCACTCATCAGGCATTTTCTTGAACCGTAAAATCACATTAAATAACTTAGTTAACCATCTCACCCCTTCTTCACCTAAACATTTCCACGCTTCGATAGGATATACAATCAGGTCCGTTGGCTCTACCATTTGCCATTTTCTTAAGAGCTTCCTTTACCTCCTTATCACGTATTATTCGATAGAATGACAAATTTTGTTCTCTTTCACCAGTTACTAAATCCTCCAAGTTACTAGATGAATCCTCTCCATCATTGAAAAGTTTAGAAAAGTAAGTCTCCCATCTATTTTTAATTTCATCATCTGTAACTAAAATTCTTCCCTCTTCATCCTTAATACACCTTACCTGTTCTAGATCTCTTGATTTTCTTTCCCTACTCTTGGCAATCTTATAAATATTTTGCTCTCCTTCCTTCGTCTCAAGGTTCTTATAAAATTCTTCAAAAGCTTTAGAACGAATTTCACCCACAGCTCTCTTAGTTTCCTTCTTAGCCATACGGTACCTCTCCCAATTTTCCTCATTGTTACACAAATGTATGGCTTTAAAACAGTTCTTCTTATACTTGATTTTGTCCTGTACACTATAATCATCCTATCAATATCTTTTTAAATTAGATTAAGGATTTAGATTTAAATGTATTATTTTATTATTATTTTATCATTTGAGAACTCTATAGATAAAGTTAGGATTTTTATTTGTATTCAGTTTTGAGTATGATTGAATAGAAATTCCGAAAGTTCCGGCCTTCCCCCTTCTTCTTTCTCTCTCCTCCCCTTTTCTCTTATTTCCCTTCCCGTTTTACATCGCCAACCCCAAACTTCCAATATGGGGCTCAAGTCCCGTACCTTCCAACTGGGTGCTAATATCCTCTCAAGCCCTGTAATCATGCTGCATGATTGCAACTAGGTCATAGAGGGACTATATGATAGTTGACATCAATCGGCTGGAGCCTTTTGGGGAACCATACCTGAAAAGTAGACCTAGGAGGTTGGGGAGCCAAAGGTCCATATAAATCCCACATTTGAGTTGAATACCATACTTCTAATGTGGGACTCAAGCACCATGCCTTGCAAATGGATCCTGATGCCCAAAAACACTCACACCTTGGACATCACTTCCACTGATCACAGTGGAGAGCAAGAAGAAAACATGATACACATTCATCCAACCCAACAAAGGCATTCCCCTCTATGCGCACAAATATAATCCCAATCTTTTCTTTCTAAGGATGAAACTACAAATAGTTATGTATAAACAAAGCTGGCCACAAAAAAAAAAAGCAAAAACAAAAGTTATGCATAAACGGAGGGGTGGTACAGCAGATAAACTTTGTTTTTTCTGATTTAAATATCAATCAAATTTAGTATTTTTCAATCGAAATGAAGGGTTATATCAACATCACCATGTATTCTGGCAGTCCACACCTAAGGGGAGTTACCCATATGTGTGTGTGTGTGCCTAAGGGGAGGGACACAAGTCACAACATCACCATTATGCAGACGAATGCAGGATAAAAATTATACATATTTCTAACATAGATACTATGAAATAGAATTCCCAAATTCAACACCTAAGGAGGAGGTACCCATATACAAGTATCAAAACTGCGGGGAAATAGATGGAATATCTAGAATATAACAAGTTACAGAAGATGGTTTCATCCAGAACAGTGGCAAAACAAATACATAGCATATCATCTATTCCCCAGTCTCCATATATATAAAAGGGAATTTATAGTTTCAAAGCCAGTGCTTTTTCTGAATTGTGAGAAACTTACAGCAGGAGGATAAGTAAACAGAATGGCATTCTTCTCCTTAGTGTATATGATCAGCTGCAACAAGGCATTGAAGACTACATACTTGCCAGAGTCAAGGATCAAACACTGACCCCGCTGAAGAAGCATAAACAAAATGCCAATCGATGCCTGTACCTTAAACTCTCACGTGTTTATGCACCCCACAATTTTTCAACTTTCAAGAACTCGATTCCATATTTCCCACTGGCAATTTACCCCCAAGAAAGCACAACAAAAATAAAAGCTCAGAGAAAGACCTTTCCCCCTCTTAAAACAAAAGGTAAATCCATAAGTCTTCCCCTTTTCAAATTTCCTTCATCCAAAACAACATAGCCAGGATCAATTGTTCTCCTCATCAGGTTGTTTATCAAGTAAATAAAAAAAGATGCATACATATAAATATATAATTAAACCAGGAAAAGGATATAACACGATGCAGGCAATGAGGAAATCCCGGTTCTCAGGGAATTTCTTCTTGTAAAACTGGGCGAACAGAGCAATGATAATTATGATCGTTCCAAGGAAGAGTCTAACGTTGCTCAACCTCACGTCTTCCTCATAGCCACGACTCTTAACAATCTAAACAAAGAGAAAAATGAAGAACGCAAAATCCAATCACTCAACTCAAAGAAGAATCCGAAGAATAAACATAAGAAAGTCATTAACATGGATGAGATCCGAAATGGCGAGAGGAATGTTAGGGTTAAGTGGACCTCAGAGACAGACTCGTCGAGGATGTTCTTGATGGAATGAAGATCTAAGAGATTGGCTTTCTTTGGAGATTTGGACACCATTTCTGCCCTTGAGAGCTGCAAGCGTCCTTGAAATTGAAGCCTTTCAATAGCAGATGCTGCTGAGCGCGTTGGAAACTCTGACTTCGAAACTAGCCAGTGTTGTGTTTTTGGTGCTGTTGCCGATAACCAGTGTACTTCAAAGAAAACGGAACCGGACCAAACTGATGGGTTCACAAAAAATTGGGTCCTATTCGTTGTTCGAGACAATCCGTTTGGTCTGATGTTTTAGGGATCCGGTTTCATCAGCCTGGGAAGATCTGGACCATCCAGATTATCTAATGTTTTAGGGATCCGGTTTGATCATCCAAGGAAGATCTGGGCCATCCAAATTTTCACAAAAAATTGGGTCCTATTCGTTGTTCGAGACAATCCGTTTGGTCTGATGTTTTAGGGATCCGGTTTCATCAGCCTGGGAAGATCTGGACCATCCAGATTATCTAATGTTTTAGGGATCCGGTTTGATCATCCAAGGAAGATCTGGGCCATCCAAATTTTTTAATTTGGATGGTCCAGATTTTTTCAATTTTAATTTCAATTTTATATTTTATAAAAATAAAATTTATAAGCTGGTAAAAAAAATTTATCAATTTTTTATAAATATATTTATCATTAATCTGGATAATATTAATTTAATCTGAGATTCTAGATTTTTCAATTTAATATTATAAATTTTATAAACTAACTATCTATATGTACTCTAGATAAGACAAATTTAATATTAATTTTTTTATTTTAATAAATATAAAATAAAAATAAAAATAAAAACTTGAAATTTAGACCTTGCAGATAAAAATTTAATATTGACTGTCCAGAGCATATCTAGATAATTAATTTATAAAAATTATAACAGTAAATTGAACCATTTAAATTAAATTAGTACTGTCTAGATTGATGATGAACATATTTATAAATATAAAATTAAAATTAAAATTGAAATTGAAAAAATTATAAACTTTTTTATAAATATAAAATTAAAATTAAAATTAAAAATTTCTGGACCGTCTAAATTTTTTATGTAAATGGCTTAGATCTTTCTTAAGTGATGAGCACTGAAACGAAATATGATGTTTTAGTGGGTTTGGAAACCGAATTTGATGTTTTTGCGGGTTTGACTTCATTAGGCTCTGTTTGGATCGTGTTAAAATTATCTTTTACACATTTAAAATATACATACAATGATGTTATTTTTTATAATTATCTATATTCTTTTTTATTTTAATTTTTATTTTTTACTCCTACAATCTAAAATTATAAGATATTTTTGGCTAGTTTCTACTGAACAGTAATGTCATTAAAAATTATACATTTTTATATTTATTTTTATTTAATATTACAGCTATATCACAAATGATTACAGAAAAATTATTAATTTCAAATATTCATTAAGAATATTTCTGAAATATCTCATTAATTATTTCTAAAAAATATAAAAATGTTTTATATTTTCAAATTTGACTCCTATGTGATCGGAAACTTCCTATATCAGTATATCCAATGTTGCGGGACAGGGCCTTGTTGCGTCTGCATTCAACGATAGGGTGATCGGGTGTGGGTCTGGGAATTTTGCCATTTTCTTAATGCCCAAATTAATGTCAAAGTAATGTTCGATTCATACTGTTTTATATAAAAACACACAAATCTTTTTTTTTTTGTCTTGAAAAAATAATAATAACGGCAATGTCTCTCCCTCATTAAGTTAATTATTTTTTCGGCGACATAGATCCTTGCAAGTAGTTAATTCATTAATTTAAAGGTGCCAAGCTATTTGGGAATCAATTTGTATGTTATAAATAATTGAAAAAAATTAATCATTTTATAACTTAATCCCTGAATTTTGACTTATTGTAAATTAATTTTTATACTTTTGACTCTCTTACAATTCAATTTCTAAAATTTTTACAACTCAACTTTTATAGTTTTAACTATTTTAAAAATTAAAATTATAAAGATTTAAATTTTGTTAAAATTCAGGACTAATATTTTAAATTATTAAACTCTTTTAATCTTTATAAAGATTATAAAAGTTAAAATTTTAAAATATTTTTTATTTTTATAATTTTATTTTTCAAAATATAGAGACTAATATTTAAATGGTTAACTATAGGGATAAGTTGCAAGGAGTAAAATTTAAAAATTAAGTTATAACCAAATTAAAACTATAAGGATCGAATTAGAATAAGTCAATATTTAAAAAATTAAATTATAATCGGGTCAAAATTATAAAAAATATATGATTAATCTTTCATAAATAATTTATTTTGATGGTTACAAACTTTTCAAAACAAATAAAGTTTTCATTTAATTCTTCATATTAAAAAATATATACATAAAATTAAAATAGTAATAAAATTTAGCCGATTTTATGACGCTTGAACTTTGTTGGATGTCATATCTACAAGGGATTGTTCTTAATATTGTATTTCCCATACACTGGTATCTCCATCCTCCTAGTATGGCAACTTCAAATCTCACAGATACCAAAAGGAAGAATTTTAGTTAAGGATTTATGTAGAAACTTAATTTCAAATGAGTTTAATGGTAAAAAAATTAAAATACTCTTCACTTATTATACAAAATTACTAATTATTAATTTTCTTATTTCACCTATTAATTTATGAATATGAATTGCAAATTATACGAGTTGATATGTTAATAATTCTATAAGATTCGACATCAACTTTTTAAATTATAAGCAACAATATCAGTTGTAAATTATTAATAGATCTTGTAATTTACTAACATTAATTACAAATTATTAATAAGTTTGTAATTTATAACTAATGTTAGTAAATTAACTATTAATGTTACTGATTGTTTAACAAATAGATATAATTTACAAATGATATTAATAAATTAATAAATATAATAAAAAATTAATAAATAATGATTTTGTATAACAAGTGAATGGTATTTGGTTATTTCACTGTTAAAGTTCTTTTAACTTTTCACTCATAGGTTGAATTAAAATTTTAAAATTTTGTTAGACCTACGTAAAATTAAACTCTGTACAATGGTTATTAACTGAAATTCTCCGTACCAAAAGCTAACGAATCGTCCCTCAAAGTTGTGCGTGGATCTGAACTCGATTACAAAGTTACAGCCTCGAAAGATCTTTGAGAAATGAACTAGAATTCCTCTTGATATTTGCATCGCGCATGATTGTTTTCACCTGTGCATGCAAAAATAAAAATAAAAAATCAGATAGTTATTATGAATGTTTATTATTGTGCTGGTTCTTTTTCCCGTTATTTCTTTTTCCCTGGCCACGAGCTCTTCCTACTTGATCGAGTTTCACAGTTGAAGAAGTACGGACAGATATATTTAGACAGCAATAGGATATATTATAGGTATATATATCTCTTTGTCCTATGAAAAATTAAGGGGGGAAAGATGAAAGCCATTTTTTCACACACAAACAGAACTTCGCCGAAAAGCCACAAAGAATGTCTTTGACGCCAATAAGATCATGGTATAGATTCCCTCTCTTATGATATCTCCACTTTCTTCTTCAAGGGAATTTTAAACCATTCGATAAGATAATATATGGTGATTCTTTTCGCAGAATGAGATGCCTTTTGATTGATAGATGTATCTCAAATATCTTAAAAACTAGTTTTAATGTAGTGCTCATCGTACAAATGAACATGGAGAGCTTATTACTTTTAGACCATTCAAACTTAATTTGAAAGGTTTAGATTTATAGCTTTTTACTTTTATTTTTTTAAAAAATTATTTTAATAAATACAGAATCTAAAATAAAGACAATCTCTTAATTATTAATTTTATTAAAAAATAATTTTTATTTAAAAATACCCATTGAAAAATTATAAATATGAACCATTCAAATTATATCTTAACAATTTAAACAAGATGAGCTCTCGGTACTTATATGTATGATAAGCAATGAACTTGGTTCCTTAAATAATGTAACTTGATTATTTGATAAAAAAAAATAATGTAACTCGATTATTCATCATGGTATAGAACAATTAACATCAATTGTAATTGTTTTTTTATAACAAAATAATATATCTTGAAATTTTGGATTATTAGTTGAAGGCTAGATAAATTGTGTAGACCGTACTGACTCCTGGTGATGCCTTTACACTGTCACTATTTATAAATTCTACCTACTTGTATACTTGGATATTTCTTTAAAATCATCACGAGCAGTATTTAGATATATATAAATAATTAATTATTTTGTTAACTATGAAATAATAATATCTAATTATCTTAATCACTAACCTAGCTACTTTCTTTCTTCGTTCTCTTCTTTATCTCTCTTTCATTTTTATTTTTTTTTTGGCTTCCTGAATTTAGAGGTAAATAGAATTCACTGCATGAAAAAAAAAATAAACAACATCATATTTGTTCTAGATTAAGCAAATCTAAATAACCAAACATTAACATGAATTCTGTAATAATAATTAGTTTCCTCAATTACTACTCGGATACATTTAATTTATTATAAGGCTGTGTTTCACTGCACAAATGCGGCTTCATGGCACACCCATGCAAACACAAGCGCTATTTTTTTATGTGTCTTTTATACATGTTTCTCAATCCCTTCACGGAGCTTATCATCAAATTAACGTAAAATACATCATTTCATAACTTTGGATGCCAAAATTGTCACATAAAAAGGAAATAAAACCAGTTTTGTTCTTCAATATTCAAATTTTAGCATACAACAATTAATATCAATTGTGCTTGTTTTTTGTAACAAAATAATAGTGCATCTTAACAATTTCGATGGTTAGTTGAAGGTTGGATAGCTGACCTGGGCCGTACCAGCACCTTATTATGAACCTTTTATAATTGGATTTCAGCATTTTTGGGCCGTCTCATACATGTTACCCTACCCGTATGCTCTGATATTTCCTTGAAATTTTCATGCCGCCGCGTTCATATTCATTCCTTGAAAGGGAAAACAAAAATTAAAGATTGTGGGGCAAAAAAAAAAAAAAAATTCTAGTCACCGTAGAACTTTTCCCCGGCTAAGCCAAGATTCATTGGAAGTCAATTTATGTCAAGGGGTTGTGTATGTTGAGATTGAAGATTTGGATACATTGTTGTCAACAAAACCTCAACTATCCAAGTCTTGATATCTAATATAAAATCCTAATCCAATAAAATCACCGGGAGATTATTAATTATTATTATAAG